AAAGGCAAGTGAGACAATAGTGTTGGGCTTGGGGTGGTCATATCCATAGGCATCATCCTCTACACCCCAACATCTAAGCCCTCACCAGGTCCTGTCTGTTTTACCTCCTGACTGTCTCTCCAGTGAGAGCATTCTTTTCCATATCTAGCATCACTCCCCGAGTTTACAGCTACCATCATCTCTCCCCTTGACTCTAGATCTGTCCTCTTCTACTCTTATCTCTCTTCAGTCCGTCCACACACTGCAGTGAGTGATCTTTAAACTGAAAATAGGATTCTATCTCTTCCTCGCTTAAAAGACTCCAAGGTTTTCCCACTGCATCTAGGATAAAAACTAAAATCCTGAGCACACCTACAAGGCCTGTTCTAGGATGTGACCCAACTCACCTCTCTGGCCTCATCTCATACCAGCTTTCTGCTTGCTCTCCACAATCCAGCTACGCCCATTTTCTGGGAACTATCTTATTGCCCTCTACCCCAGGACCTTTGCATATGTTCCTCTCTCTGCTGGGGCTCTCTCTTTTTGCACAGTTAATCATGCTCAGTCCTTCAGAGTAGAGCTTGAGCACTGCTTCCCGGGAGAACATCCTCTTGGTCAGATTTCTTGGTAAATGATTCTTGTGGGACTGTGTGGCTTTCCTTCTGACACCTCACTCAGTTTGTAGTTACCTCCTCACTGATATGAAAATGCCCATTGGACTGTCATCTCCGTTAGGGGAGAGGCCTCCATTTTGATCACTTCCACCAGCACATGGAAGATACTCGGTAAATATTTGCCGAATAAGTGGAGGGAGAGAGAGAAGTAGAGACATCTTCTGAAAGAAAATGTTAAAGTAAGAGTAAGATTGGTTTGTGTTTTTTTGGTTGTTGTTGGGTCTATTTTTTACTTTTAAAGAAAAGAAAACATTCAGGGATGCAAAACTACTCTCAAACTATTTGGTTGTGGAGTAACATGAAGACCTTTCCCGCTGAATGGGGAAGCCAAATTGAACAAAGAGGATGAATAGCATTGGCTTCATCATGTGTGGTTCAAGTTGGGGCTAAGAGGTAGAATTTCAGGTTAGGGAGAGTAAGTACAGAGAAGTGTCCTGTAGTGTTGGCATACAAAACGTTGCTTTTTTCCTCCGGTGAATTGAATTTCTGCAACCCTGGGGAGGCAGGACCCATGCTAAAGAGGGCCTAATAGATGTGGTCATTTCCTGGAACTAGGAGGATAAGAGCACAAAGGTGGGACAACAGAAATAAAATTAGGAAATTTTAAAAAGGAAACATTTATTTGAAGATTTTTTTAGAGAACCTTGAAAACCACAGGCGCTCTCAAGATGTTTATATAATTGAGAATAATTTATCTGGGATCGAAAGGAATAATAATCAAAACATTTTTTACTTAAATGCATCTGGAGGCATACATGAAATTGGACTCTTCATGGTCGCCTGTGCTTGACTATGTCCTTGGTGTTTTGTCCTCGGGCTGCAGACTAGAAATGTGTTTTAGAGAGCAGACATGGAGTACAAAGTATTAAATGAACTTTGCCGTTTCACAATGCCCAACAGTGTAACATCCTCCTTGTTTGGCAGGGAAAGGGCTCCACATTTGGAAACTCGGCAGTGCATTAAGTATTTTAATAATCATTGTTGACACACAAAGCATATGGCCTTGCAGAACTCACTGGGTCAAGTGCTGAAGTCTTCTTCTAGGTTTCTAAAATCTCTTTACAAAATTCAAACAAAATTAAATTAGGGCACATTTCAATGTATATTAATTCATAAGCTTTGTGTTATAAGCAAGGGAAGTAAGTCTGAGGATAAAAGAATATCTATGTATAACTGATTATGTTCATGTAAAGGAAAAAGCAAAATTCACATCCCCACAAAAACACAATTTGTACTTAATTTAAAAATCTAGAACCTCCCCACAAGCAGGCCAGCTTCCTGTCTACCTTGTGTTTACTGTGTAGTCCTATTCATGCCTTAAGACCCACCTCAGAAGCCTTCATTATCCACCTACTTTCGGTTTATATCAGTTATGTATATGGTCACAATAATGCCATGAAATAAACAACTGTAACACTCAGTGGCTTAAAACAGTAAGCATTTCTTGTTGCTCACAGGTCTGTGGGTTAGCAAGGCAGTTCTGGTCTCTGCTGGGCTCACTCGTGAGTCTCTGGTCTGCTGTGGGGTGGGGAGGGGCCCTGCTGACCACGGCTGGCCTGCTTCACATGTCTATGGGTCAGCTTGCCAAAGGCTGATCTCTTGGGACCACTGGGCTCTCCTCCTCATGTCTCTTGCATGCACAAACCTCAGCACCCCTCCAGCTAGCCAGCCCAGGCTCTCAGGTTGGCCTGGCATATTCTCATGGTGATCTCAGAGAAGCATCATAGAAAGTAGCAGCATGCTAGCATTTTTTCCCAAGCTTCCAGTTCCATCACATTTGTTAACATCACATTGGCCAGAGCAAGTCACATGCCAAGCCCAGTGTCAGAGTGGAAGGAGACTACAAAGTTACTGGGCCAAAGGGTGTGGATACCGGGAGGCCTACAGTTGGGTTTTTAATGACATCACTCAACACCCCTGTCCCTAGCCACCCGCAGCATTAATCATCCCTGTCTGTGCTACATCTATCTTTACTCTTAGTTCTGTTGTGCTTTTCTCATTGGATTATAATATGATTGTTAACTTGTCTGCTCTAAAAGATCAGAGGGTCCTTGTGCCTACATGTATTCATTCTGAAGTATTCATTGGCCACCTGCTATGTGTTTTATTCCTTTACAGACTCCCCCGCCCCTGGTGCCTAGCCCTTGTCCTAACTCATGATAGGCGCTCACGCTCACTAAATAGGTGTTAAATGAATGCATACATGGATGCTCACACTAATATTAATCTCCTTCCCCTCCAAAAGGAAAGGGTGAGGACACATGCCTCTCAGGATCCCAGCTGAGGAGTTCTCTTCTTGGCTCGAGCAACTGGTGAACCAGTGGGGACCTGCATAAGACTCTCAGCTGCTTAAACATCTTCCCCTCCACCCTCTTCCTCTTCTCCCTCCAGGAACTCAGGTTTTCTTTTTTGTGTCATCCCTATCCCTCTCAAAGGAAGGCAGAGAATCCCTGATACTTAACACATCCTCTTTTTACAATCAGCACTCCCCGGTAGCTTTCCCTCGAGTCTCTCTACACTACAGTGAGGAATGACTGAGTTCCGGGATTTACTTAAGCTCATAATATAGGTTGAGAGGAGCTGGACGGCTTCTATTCTCTGGTTTTCCAAGCTGTGTAGACTATGAATACAAAGGAATTCTTAGGAAATGCTTTATACAGCTATAGACACAAGATCCTGTTCACATAGGGTATTAATTCTATCAGTCTGTTGTTAAATGTACTGCCTGATTATTTTCCAATTCCATAGAATCCTACAGGGAAAACTTGTGTTTCTGGGTACATTCATAATTTTGATATTCTCAATTTTCCAGTGGTTAGTGTAAGTTGTTTGGGAGGCAGAATGGTGTGGCTTTGGAGTCAGGCAGGATAATCTAGAATTGCCAGCCCTGTCTGTTAGTTGTTTCCCCTGATGAAGCCTCTTGCTCTCGGCAGTCACAGAGGGCAAGAAGAGGCTCACAAGAATAAAGGGGCATGTGGTGAGTGAATTGTATTAATTGTTCAATTGTAGCAATTATATTAATTGTGAATTATATCTATTAAATTATTTTGACCATTAAATTGTTACAAATGATAACAATTGTATCAATATCGATGGCCTCTATTACTATATAATGCCCTATAAGTTTAAAAGCTGTGACTATAAACTAATGTTACTAGTGGTAGAAATTGATACGTTTTAAATCAAATAATCCTCATGTTTATTTTTATTAAAAAAATAAAATGATCACTTCTAAGACTACTTGGAAGATTCTGTTTAAAATGGCACTCAGGTACTTTACCTTTTGAGATGGTCTGGAAATTTTCTTCATTCAGTCACCAAATACATTTTCAGCACCTGCTTTATACCAGGTCACCGATCATATAATGGTGATCAAGGTAGCCATGGTCCTTGAGCCCCACCCCACGCCTACCTGAGGTATCCAGTGATTAAAGCGCTATCATTAATGAGTCAGCATTATTCCCAACTCCCAGTTACCTAGCTGGCAACTTCAGCTGCATGAATTATCTGAGATAAACTAATATGTGACTAGCCTTTCCTGATTAAAATACGATATGGTGATGTTTCACATTGGGAAGGTTTGACTCTACTATTTTAAATGTAATTGTGTTAAACTTTAAAATCTATTTTATTACCAAATAATATGTAAAATGGACATTTCTGAATCTTCCTGACGTTCACTCCATCGCTGAATGGCTACATGGCTTAGGGATGGATAGAGGATTGCTTGTGTACATACTCTGGATAAATGTTGACAGTGTATCTGTGGGGATAGATTTTTAGGCAGTATCACCATTTCCTCGTGTAGTATTTTAGGCTGGATCTTGGAACGGAGAAAAGGACATTAAGTGGAAAAGCTGGTGAAATCTGAATAACATCTGTTGTTTAGTTAATAGGATTGTGTCAGTATTCATTTCATATTTTTAGCAAATGTACCATGTTATGTAAGATGTTAACATCAAGGCAAGTGGAGTGAAGAGTATATGGGGAAGTCAGCTTCAAAGAACCATAGGAAAACAGTGGGGCAAATATTATTCCCTGACCACCCTGCATGTTCCCAGACTTTATGGTCAGTTTGTGAATGCCTTGAGAGGAGAGGAATTTTAACATTTAACTGAGAAAAATATAATGAGGATGGAAAGTCTGCTGTAAAATCATGATATGCCGTACCATCATTTAGGTCCCTTGGAAGTAAAGAATGGGTGTTGTCGGATTTCTCATATGCCTGAAGTTTCAAAGGTATTTTCTTATGTGAAATAGGGAATCCTGCTCTTGGTCTTTTCTCACCAACAAATATTAATTCCTTAAGAGTTTGAGTGATTCAGAAATTCCTTTTTACTTTCATAGGTGCAAACACAAGTTCGCCTTGCCAAAAAAAGCTTTGACAAATTGAAGATGGACGTGTGTCAAAAAGTGGATCTCCTTGGAGCAAGCAGATGCAATCTCTTGTCGCATATGCTAGCAACATACCAGGTAACAAAATGATGTTTGTTACAATGAACCAAGAATGGTACAAGGTTTAGATAACAGAAAAGTGGTATCTGAGCTCAAAGTATGGTTTGGACATGATGAAATTCTGATTGCCTTTCTAGTAATTTACTTCCTACATCTCTGCTTGGTAGCATCCTACGGTTAATCAAGCCGAACGATAGCTATTTTCTGTATAGGCACCTGTAAATCCCCACTTTCCTGCATTTATTTAGATGGTTTCTCCTGCCTGGGTGCCTTCCTCCTTCATTTGTGTTTCCACATTTCACTCTGTTCCGTGTACCTACCAGACAAAGTGTCTCCTTCTTCAGAAAGCCTCCTCCGAACTCCTGTAGCATTTTTGCCTGTACTTCTCTCGGCGTGGTCACTTCCTCATCAGGTTGTCATAATTTAATGCACTTGCTTTTGTCTTTCGTTGCCTCTGACTTCCTTCAGGATAGCCCTTGTGTCCATCAACAGTACTGCTGAGCACCGAGTGTGGGAGGCAAACTCTGGGTGTTGTTGGGAACATACAATGGAAAAGACCAGATCTCCTGTCCGTAGGGAACGTAAAGTTTAGGAAGAAGTCAGAGATGGTAAAGTCTGCCTATATTTTCTCCACCTGAAGGATAGAACAGGGTGTGCTAAGTGAAATGAGACCTACAAAATCCAACGGAGGCTTGAAGAAGGAGAAACAGAATCAGTTGAGGGATCACAAAACTCCATTGTGAACAACTAGCCCTGGTTTGGGAAGGACGGGTCAGACGAGAAAATTACAAGGAAAGGAGCATCCAGGGCGGTGGAGCAGCATGAGCCACACGGGCAGTATTTGGGACAGGGAGCCATGGCGTTTGCCTGAAATACAGGGTGTAAGTAGGTTCCTAATAGGAAATAAGGCTGCAGAGATGAGTCGAAAACATTTTTGGCGGACCTTGAAAGCCACAGATTTGCACACTTCTCTAGGGCCCATGACTAGAGCTGGGCATTTAAAATATTAATAGCTTGACTTTCTTTACAGACCACTCTGCTTCATTTTTGGGAGAAAACTTCTCACACCATGGCTGCCATCCATGAGAGTTTCAAAGGTTATCAGCCGTATGAGTTCACTACGTTAAAGGTATGAAAGCTAGAGAGGCCGTTAGAACATCTTATACAAGGTAAAGTTCGTTTATATCACTAGCAATGTTTACTGAAGCAAGCATCATTATTATAATAGACTCTGAATGTCAAAGAGAGAACTGTGCTCCCTAGAAGAGTCTTTCTTTTCTTTTCTTTTTTTTTCAACTGCGTCAGTATTCAATACAGTACTAAGCCACAACAATCTAGAAAACATAGGTTGAACTTTGATTCATGTTACCAGGAGATGAATTTTGGTGAACTTAAACCTAATAATTGGTGCTGATCCTTTGCAATACTTGTTTGACATTGCTAAAGAGAAGATTGTACAAGTCTAGTGCACTCTGTTACTTTTTAATTATTAACTTAACATATGCTCCCTTGAGAAGTCATTTTTCCTTTCTTCCCTTACTTCTAACAAATATCTTAATCTGAATACCATCCAATATAGAATTTGTGTTTTTTTCCTAACCCAATAGTCGTATGTTAAACTCAGTGATTTCTCAATCAAAAGAGAAACCTGCAAAATGTCAGGTTCTTGATATTGCAGCTGTGATCGTGAAGTCATTTTGCTCTCTAATGGTTGCTGAGGGTGAACACATGTCAAGGTAAGGAAGTGATTTGGGTTCTAAAAGGATTTTAAGAACAGTGAGAGAACCCTGGGTGCTTTGTTGCCAGGTCATATCTTTGAAAGAAAAAGACCAGGAAAGAACTAATTAAACTTCATCTTGAAATTACCTTCCTTCTGATTTTTCAGGCAATTTGTGACTGTCTCATCACTTTGCTTGACAAAATATTAAAAAGCTTTTTTTTTTTTTGGTCTTAAAACACCTCTTTGATTTTGAGATGTTTATAATGTCACTGCATCTACAAAAGTACTAAGATACAAACCCTTTAAGACCCTGGCCTTTTAGTTGGAGGTCCGAAGAGGAACCCAAGACAGCCCACTCACCTTGTGATGACCCTGACCTGACCCAGACAGGCGCCCTGGCTGTGGAGTTTGTTTTCCCTAATCCCCTGTCAGATGGTCACTTGCTCTTACTCTGGTGCTCGGTGACATGCGGTGTGGTAAACACAGTCAGAGTGGACTCTAAACACTTCGAGGGGCAGACTGTTTATTTCTTACACATCCTCCTTGGTCCAGCCACATGTTCTGCATGCAGTGAACCCGCATCCTTCCTGATCACGTTGGCAGTGTTACCGCTGTTGGTCACACTGAAGGACTGCATGCCTTCTCTGTGATTTACTGCCGCTTTCAGCGCTTTAGGAAGCAGCCCTCCTCAGCAAGACAGATTGATTAAAATTATTATAACTCACACTAGTCACATTTCTTATACAAGACTGAGCAGAATTCCATGGATTAATCTTTGAGAAGGCAACAAGTTTTAGATTTTAGGGCATTAATGTGTGTCAGATTTTATTCTATAATAAATACAGTTTCAAAGGTTGTCTATCATTTGAAAGATAACTGTACATAACACAGATTGGCCAGGTGGAGGACGAAATGATGCCTACCCTGAATACAGTTTTAAAGAGGTTCAGGTTTGAGTTAATTGCGTGCGCAGTACAGTATGAAATCATGAAATTGAAGTTGTACCACAAGCATGGAAGACTCCTTAAGTGTATCCCTGGGCTCCTGTGCTAAGGAAAGTAGGACTTCTGAGTTTTGCTGTGATTTTTTTCCTGCAGAGAGGACCAAGCTAACAATGTTAGAAGATTTCCAGGCAGAGAATTTAGTGAAAGTTTGATGGCAATACTTCAGAATATAATTACAAATATTTGGGGCAGATGATTATCCACCGCCATTTCCATCCTCAGCACCTTCCTTAAATTATGGTTTAATTGCAATATAAATTCAGTAGGAGTAATACATCTGTTAAGGTATAGTAAGATTATAATAATGTTAAGAATGTTAAGTTCCAAAAGTCAACCAAATAAACTATGCTTTTATTACCTCTTTAGAATGCTATTCATCGAGGCTTTCGGTGATGACATGTTATATTAGAATCTGAAGCTAGCTAATTATTTTCTTTATATGGACTCAAACCTGTATAACAGAACTCTGTTATTACCCGGCTCATTATTGCATAGACAGAGTCATGTTCCATATCATATTTATGATAGGAAAATGAAATGAAAATGAAAACCATTAACACCTTATGTATCACAGTCAGGCATGGGTTGTTACCTGACTTACCAACCCTCTTGCACTAGTAATTTTTTAAAAAATAAAGGTCTCATATATAAAAGGTTTTTGACTTGATCAAGTCATCTTTCTATGTATATGAATGGTATCATATCTTGATAATGAATATTTTGAAATTTAAATAAATATTTTCATGATTTATTTGTCCTCCAAATTTACTAAGCAAATGGCCCCTTAAATGCCTTTTGGGACACTGGCTAGAAAGAAAACATTGTCTTTGGAGAGGTGTGCCAAGCTCTGTTAATGAAAAGCAACCCATTTGCTTTCTTTGCTGCAGGGCGTATTCTGAGTGTGTTGGTAATTGTGCCGTTGCAGCTGTATTTCCTGACTGTTAGTTTTATGCTTGATGAAGGATGATAATTAATGTGTTAAACACTCGATGCATCCTGTTTGAAGTGAAGAGTCTCTTGCGGCAGAATTACAGGGATATAACTCATGCCCCAGAAGTTCAGGTTGTATTTCTAATGAATGTTTCTCTAGAAAATACGTATAATTCTTTCTTTTTTAACTTTTATTATGAAAGTGAATTGAGTCTCCACCTCTCACAACTTGAAATTTTCCCAAGTGACTGTTTTGACATTCTGTGAATATTTGGTGGCACTGTTTTATGTGACAACAGCTATTGTATTTTTACTGAGGCCTGATGTGATTATTACTGATTCCACATTTAGTGACAAATTCCTTCATCATTCTAATTTCATGATAAATAAATTTTGTGACATTTTAACTTTATGGAGAATTTAGCCTTGAAATTTAAAATTACTAAAGAACTTAATCTAATAATTGTAAAAGGGCTCAAATTTAAAGTTCAGAGACTGTCTTTTGAGTGGTTTCCAATAAAAGAAGCAATGCCCCGATCTTGTATTTTCAAACAATAAATATTTATTGGTTCATTAAAATGTTACTAAACATATATATTTTTCATGAATAATCATTAGCATGTCAATTTTATACTGATATTCCAAATCACCTGGGAATGTCTTTTACGTGGTAGAGATGATCGGGCCATGGGGATAGGTACAGAATGTTACTAGCCCTACCATGAAAGCAATCACTTTTTGGGGGAAAGTAATTTAGGTTAAGTTTGAAGTTTTTTTTTTTTTTCTTGAAAAGACTAAAAGAAATGCTTTCTGTAGGAAAGCTGTATCCGTCTTAAATTACCAGCCTTCAGATGTGGTCATGTTTGCTTTATCCTTTCAGGATGTCACTTAAAACTTGCATATTTCCCCCCAAATCCAGAACAGACATTGGAGGAAAAAAAAGAAAGAAAAAGGGAAAAAAGCCCTCAGGAGTCAAGTGGCTTTTCCCTGGAAAAATCTAAAATTATTTGTGCCAGTGGCCTTTTCTCCCCTACTTGGCACGCGGGCACGCGGTTGAGTTGGCAGTCTTTATAGAGAAATGAGCACTGCCCCCTTTGAAGAAGTGGGCACACTCACTGGGGACCAGTTGAAGGGGAGGCTGTCCTTCTGCTTTTGTGTTTGTAAACAGATAACTACCTATATTTACTGGAAATGGTCAAAGTGCATTCCTGTGATGTGCCCCATTGCAGAGTTTTGGGAAGGAAAGCCGGTTTTTGACTCTGGTTATGGGATAAAGCAAAGTATGTCGGAGCACAAGGTCTGGAGCCAGCCAGACCCAGCTCCAAGTCCGGCTCTACCACTTCCCAGCGGTGGTGATGGCGGCGGCAGTGGTGGTGAGGGTGGCAGCCATGGTGGTGGCACCAGGAGCCCCACAGTGAGGATGAGAGGGATGGATGCACTTGCTTTTAGGTAACTTTTTTTTTTTTAGTGAAGTATAGTCGGTTTACAATGTTGTGTGGGGATGGATGGACTTACTAAGCATTCTGTAATGGGTCCAGAAGACAGCCCTTGGCAGTATGGACACAGAAGGGTTTGTTGAGGTTGTCAGGCTCCGTAGCCCAGCTTCAGTTACTTCTTACCGTTTCCACCCTAGTCGTTAGTTTTGCACAGACGAGGCTGTGAATGGCGGTGGAACAGGAGGCCTCACAGACCTAGCCCAGGGAAACCAACCTGCCCCCTCCCTACGCCCACAGGTGGTCCCGGCAGCCCCGTTCCCAAACATGCCCGGCCCTGGTCTGGGTTTGTGTCATCCGCACCAGAGAGAGGAGAGGGCAGGGCAGGAGGGCTTCCCACACCTGCAACAGGACTGATTCTAAAAAACGCACTTTGGCTTTACAACCAGCTCTTGGTCTGTGCCAAGACTTTAACTCTAAGGAAACCTGAATTTGAAGACCTCACTCTGAGCACATTCAAAAATAACCACTGAAACAGCTGCGCCAGTGTTCCCTCCTTTCTCTCCTGGGGTCCAGGACTTAGCACTGTGATATGGAACATCATTCTGGAGACCAAAATGCTTTTAGCTCTCACAATTCAAAAAACATCTCAATTTTGTTTTTCTCAAATCCGTATGCCTAACAGCCTTCTTCCACCCACCTCCACATTTCTCAGTTAATCACTTGAACATTTACCAACAAGCCACATGGCTCTGTAGTTACTTGCTTTGAAAATAAAGCCGTAATAGTTTTTATGAAAATTGGGTAAATATCTCTGCGATGCAATTTTAGTTGCGAGTCCCAACATGGCAATTACTTGTGGCGAACATCCAGAATATCCTTTTAGACTTTCAAGTTTTCTCTCAGTGTCATTACTTTACACCACATTTAGAAGAATGATTTTTTTTTTCCTGCCCATGCGGCTCTCGGCCAGATCATTGCAAACAGCAAATCGGGACACAGCCAGGTCACCGGGAGAGGAGGGAATAGAGAGGCTGACCAC